CGGATACCATGAAGTCATAGCCGAAGAGCTCACAGCTTCCTTTACGCTGCTCAATGTTGTCGAATACGCACCACAACGAAGAGATGATGATTTCTTCCATCTAAATTCGGGAGACATAATTGAGCGAGAAGTCCGGATTCTCATGCTAGACAAAGGACGTGCGGCTGCAGAAGATCCGACCATATGTCTCTACACGGCTCCGCTAAGCTCGGGTTAGTACCGCCACCGCACGTAACATCTACGCGCCTCTGATGAGTTTCATGAAAGAATGCGCCCTCACCTGTTACAAGACCATCCTTCTCTTGACTATGCTCCAGACAGGTGCTTGCGAGCCAGGGCGTTGAATGAACCTGGTTCGGGCCTGGCAAGCAAGCATTCACAATAGCCAACTAACCGACGGTCCTCACAGTAGGTAGTATGAAGGTGTTGCTGAAAGTCATGTAGAAACCACATGAAGCCATCCGAGCCATGAATTTCATCTCTGGATCGATGAAACTCTGGGTGGTCCTTCACTATACTGTTGTTCACCATATGCACGAATTTATCATCCGATTGGAGAGTCATATCGTATCTGAACTCTCCTTCCTCACAAGGTGTAAGCTCACACTTACTTTTCGCTTGCAAAGCGTATGTACGGTCTCTGCCATATCCACACGGACAAAGGATTCCAATCAGTGACCAATACCCACACTCTGATGTCGAATTTATAACCTCTGATGAGTAGCGGTCGTTCAATGTACTTCTGAACAATCTGGAGAAAACTACTAATACCGTTAAAAATAATAGCCACTCGCGAGGTGGTTCTTCTGCGAGAGGACAACTCTCACCCACTGCTCCGTATCTCGTGTTGCTGCCCCATGGCTATCATCACTATACCCACATTTATTGAGTATTTCCTGGAGGCATCTCATCATTTGAATGCCTCTCCCTCTCGATTTTCCACCGGGCTTCATCTGCACTATACGATTTCAAACGATTTGCGGGTGACTCCTACTATCCAAGCATTATGAGGGCCATCAATGTCATCAGCCTGCACTGAAGTTGAGTACAACTGGGTAAGCACTCTGAGAGTGGGCCATGTTCGAATGTAAGGCATCAAGGTCGGCGAGTAAGAGTACCGTTTGACCTCTGCAATAGTCCATCGTCCCAGAGGTTTCTCCATATAGTGATTAACATCTATGTATCGAGCACAGGATGCAACATCAGCGGAAAAACCACGAATATGAGAAGGTTCCACCTGAGAAGACTAACAACAGGTATAGCTGAATGATCATACCACGCCTTCTTGACCTTCCGTCTCCTCATTGCTCGACTCGGAGTCAAAACCGTGAACTTTTTGGTCGAATTGACATAGGAACTGTGACAAGGGTGTCTGTATAACACTGCGCTGCTAAGCTCAAGTTGAT